AAAATGGCTCAACGAATGGTTTGCCGCAAAAGACAAGCAGTTTTTCTGGCATGGTATTCATAAATTACCTGAAAGATGGACGAAATGTGTAGAAGCCGATGGCCAAAATTTTGAATAAAAAAAAATTAATTTCCCTTAAAAATTTAGTGTTTTGTTTTACCAAAAAACCGGAAAAAACTTATGCATACACCTGGTAAATGTAGCCTCATCGCTCCAAATTAATTGTCTTTGAAACTTCTGGTTTTCTTCACATTTCGCCAAATACCATTTATAAAACTCAACTCTCCTATCTGGATCATCTTCACTGAGAGCGTGTACGTAGGTAGCTATTTATATCTCTGGCCTTGGTAGCAGTAAATGTTGCCAGGCGCCATCTGACGTTGTCATTGGAAACTTGACATTGTTGAACATAAGAACATAAGAACACATTGTCATTTGAGCGCGGTTTATGTTGTTTACAGTAAATTGAAAAATTCATANATGTCGGGCAAAAAATGGAATTAACTCGTGAACATTTTCGTGCGATTATTTTTCATAACTTTCGACGTGGATTATCAAGACAAGAGTGCATCGATGAACTTAATTCTTTATACAGCGAGAAAGCACCATCCTACAGCACTGTAAAAAACTGGTATAACGAATTCAATCGTGGCCGACGTTCGCTCCAGGACGAATTCCGTGAAGATCGTCCAAAATCGGTTGTTGTGCCAGAAAATATCGATACTGTGCGTGAACTGATAAAGCAAGATCGTCATGTGACATACCGTGAGATTGAGGCATCTTTGGGCATTAGTATGACAAGCATCAATAAGATATTGCATGAATATTTGTCCGTAAAAAAAATTTGTTCGCGTTGGATCCCGCATAATTTGACAAACGCTCAAAAGAAGACTCGTGTTGATTGGTGCAAGGAAATATTGAAAAAATACGTTCAAGGTGCATCAAAGGCTGTGTATAACATCTACACAGGTGACGAATCATGGATCTATGCATATGAGCCCGAAACAAAACAGTAATCGACTGTATGGGTCTTCCAAGACGAGTCAAATCCAACAAAAGTTGTTCGCGGAAGAAGCACATCGAAGCAAATGGTTTCTTCGATATTACCGGTCACGTGGCGACAGTGGCGTTAGAGCACCGTAGGACGGTGATTCTAAATGGTACACGACCATTTGTTTGCCAGAAGTCATCGGAGAAATTCGAGAAAAGCAGAAGAAGAGGCGAATCATTCTTCATCATAACAATGCGAGCTCTCACACATCGGATCAAACAAAGGAATTTTTGACCGGCCAAAACATTGAATTGATGGGTCATCCGCCGTACAACCCTGATTTGGCACCCAATGACTTTTTTTGTTCCCGCACATCAAAAATAAATTACGTGGTCAACGATTTTCGACACCCGAAGAAGCGGTTGATGCATTCAAAACGCATGTTTTGCAGTTACCTTAATCGGAGTGGAAAAAATGCTTCGAAAATTGGTTCAAATGCATGCAAAAGTATATTGATCATCATGGAGAATATTTTGAAAAACAATAAAACCAATTTCGATCATAAATATTTGTTTATCAATATTAGGCCAGAAATATAAGAGCAATCCTCGTATTAATGTTGTTATATCACTTTTCCAATTAAATCGCTTCAAAATACGATGGGTACTATCCTTTGGAATTCTTACTTCACGAGCAGCCTGACGAAGCGATGTTCTTGGCTGTAGACGATGCAGTTCCAACACCATTTCTTCCGTGTCTGCGTCAGTCGATGATCTTGGTCTTACGGAACGTTGTCTCTGAACATTCTGAACAATTCCATCTGCTTCTTCTGCAAACTTATCTCTAATTCGTTTTATAGTGAGTCTATTAAGTGGATCAGTGTGAAATTTTTTCCGAAATTGTTTTTGCACTTCTACCGCGTTTTCGCACTTCCGGTAGCACTTTAACACAAATTTTCTTTCATCAAAACTTAATCTGGATTGGACCATTATTTCTCAACTGTTAAATCTGCAAAATAAAATTAAATCTGCAAAAATAAAATTCAGCGTTTTACCAGCTAATAAAGTGTGGTAACATTTTTTTGCGATACCCTGTATAATAAATTTATATTAATTATTATTATTATATATAAAAGTTTTGTTTTCTCAAGTAATTATATAATTAAAAATGTTTCTTTAAAAATATAAAAAAATATTCGATTCATCGATATTTTTTATGAATAATCGATTACTCCACATCAATATAGTTAAACATCGATTAATTTGACATCGATGTTTTTTTCATACATCGCCCATCCCTAGTATCGATATGTATATCGTCAGCTGAAGTATCGATGCACTTAAGTATCAAGAAAGGATATTATCAATATCGATACAAAAAATTGAATTTTAGAAATAATAGCATCTTC